CACACGCTTGCAGTTCCAGCTACTTGGAAGGCTGAGGCAGAAGGATCACCAGAGCCCAGCAGGTCGAGGCTGCAGTGGCCGGGAGCGGCCACTGCACTCCAGTCTGGGCGACACAGTGAGACTCCAGCTCAAAAAAAAAAGAGGAAGAGAGGCAGAAAGGTGAGGGGAAAAGTTTCTTTACCCATCACAGGGTCACTGGCACAGGGTCCTGCTGGAGGTCAGAGGGGGTGGCAGGTAGGAGGGGAAGGTGTGCAGGTAACTTTTGTTGGCAGTAAAACAAGCACAAGTGGAGCTGAACTTAGGCTACCTAGAGGCAGCTTATCCGGCCCCAGCTCCCATGATCCTTTCCGCCCCTGCTGCCTGCCCAGCCACTGGCCTTGGGCTCACTCCCAGATCCTGTTTGTTGGTCGGACCCTGAACCTACCCCCGAACCTACCCTTCAAGGTTCAGACTAGAAAACTCCTTGTGAATTTTTGCTGTGAGGGCTTTCCTGGTCTGACAGCAAAAACCCACAAGGAGTCATCTAGTCAGAGTCCAGTACTGTCTTTTAGGAGATTCTGGCCATGTGGTCTGAGGGGTCCTATTACAGGGCCCCACGTGACACACAGGACAGGCTGCTAGGCCCAGGTCTTCACTGGGACCCCGGACCCTTCTCCTGGCTCCTTAGAAAACAGAGAAAAGCAGCATACATGGAGGAAGGGAGTCCTGATGACAGAACAATTAGTAAAATGCAGATTATCCCAGAATAGCTGCTCCACACCCCCCAAAACCAGGGCTCTCTTCTCCTTGAGGCCTTTATGTACAGGCATACAGACACATGGCCTCTCAGCCACCCCTACTCACTTCTTGCGATGAGGAAATGGGGTGGCTTAGACTCAAGGATCTCCCAGCTAGAAGGACATTGTATCCACCTGGTGGACCCCAAGATGCTACCACAGCCACTCTCAGTGGCTTCCCATGGCAGCAGTCCCAGCTCACACCTGGGTTTGGTCCTGTTCCAGAGGAGAGAGCCAAGCCCTTTGGGCAGAAGTTGTGGGAGAAGGCTGCCAAGGAGAGGCAGCTTGAAAAGCTCCTGGGATGCTGTGAGGAGCCCCGGGAAAAGCCCAGAGTCCATTTGGCTGGAGAAAGTCCCTAGAGTCCTAGAGGCTTTTAGAGAAAACTGAAAATGTGGAAGTGAGTTGTGCAGAAGGAAGGGCTTGTTTGGGGCAAATACAAGATGGCTTTTTCCCAGGCTCCTGCACTGAGAAGCCAAGAAGGTAACTTCTTCATCCTTTGATGGGCTCTCACCACTCCATTGCCACAGGCCAAAGGGCAGAAAGCTGAGGTCCAAATGGGTTGCTTTGCCCATTGTGCAGAGATTTAGGCACTGCTGCAAGGCCAGAATCTGCTCCCTCTTCAGTGATGCTCCAAACAGGAGAAGATGGGACAGCCAGAGCCCTGAGTACAGAAAGGCAGGTGGAGATGCCCAGAGTGCTGGACTAGGAAGCAGAAGCCTTGGGTCCAAGACAGCCACCTCTGCCCTCCACCCCACAGGGGCTATTGTAGCCAATATATGCAGCTACCAGGTGAATGTGAGAAGGAAGGGAGATGGAAGATGCTCTGTGTCCCATTCCTCCAGGGAGAAAGCTGAGTTCATATGGGGAGTATCCCCATTGCCAAGGAGAGGGGAGCCCCAGATGGGAATGGCAAGTGTGGCCAGCGGCACCCCAGTGTCACAAGTCCATCAAGCAGCCTCACTGGCCCAGACTTAAGACTATATGCAGGGTTATTCCAAACCCCGTACATACCCAGCTAGGGCTACCAAAGGGGTAATCCAGGCTAGGAAAGTCTGTTGCTGGGTTGTGAGGGCCAGCACTCCTCTCTTCTACTTCCTAAAGAAGGTCTAGCATTTCCTTCCTTGACCCCCTCCCCTTTCACTTTCTGCAGGGCTCTGGGAGGCAGAAGGTCCTCCGAGGCATCCCTGCAGCTGGGAACCATGAGAACAAGTCTGTGTGTGTCCAAAACCCTCTCTAGAGCTTTGATCCCTAGGTACTTCTGGCCACCCAAAGATGCAGCTCCCGCCAAGCTCTGTCCTCACCTCTATGGGGTCTGCGTGTGTTTAGCCGTGGGCAGAGACTGTGCCTGTGGACTAGGTTCCTCAGCCTCCTAGCACAGAGGCCCTCTCTGGAGGCTGGTGCTAAGCAGAGAAGGTAAGATAGGAGTTGACCGGAACCAAAGTCTTGGCCAGAAAGGTGTCCAGGAAGACCCAGAAGGCCCCTCAGCCTCTCAGTTGAAAGACCCTGGTGCTCCAGGAGGTGGGATTAGACTCACCCTTCGCACTGGGCATCTGCCTGCCCAAGATGGGAAATGCAGTATAGGGACTTGCAAAGCAGATCAGTCAGAAGTTGATTATGTTCATTAAGCATTCTCCAAGTTGCTTGTTTATAGATCACCAATGACTTAGAAGAGAACTGAACAGACTGAGAAATTAAAACTAGGAATTGCTTACCAGCTACATACCAGTCAACCAGAAAAGAAGCATTGCTGGCATTTCCATGAGGAGCTACACAAAATCCTGATTTGCACACAGCTGTCAGAAACAGAGCTGGAGTCTCAAACAGGGATATACCTGCATCCCAGCGGCCTCCACCACACCCTCGCTCCACCCACCCCTACCCCAAACTTCCCCAGCAACCACGGACAGCCTGAAGGAGTGGGGCCTGTGCCCTGGCAGATAGTACCAGGTTCCCAGACTTCTGTGTGCCACTCACTTGAGCTAAAAATTTCCACATAAAAATCTCCTTTTTGTGGGCCTGCCAGGGCCAGATGGGGAAAGAATGAGCTTGGGCAGCCTGGATGGGGCGTCAGCTGCAGCATCCCTGGGGCTTCAGAATCTCTTCTGTGAGAGCCAGATTCCAGGTCAGAGCAGGCAGGAGCTGACAGGGCAAGGCCTCTCCTTCAGAGGTGGGGACTGTCAGGCCAGACAGACAGTACACGCCAAAGAGGGGCTTCAGAACTCATCCGCGACTCTGTCTCAAAACGGTTCACATGTCATGTGTTAGGCTTCAGCAAGACCAGATTTTGGGAAACTGACACTGAGAGATCTGATCCGTCATCATCGTTGTCATGGTGGCCATTTATTTATAGCCTCCTATGAGCAAGGTGCTTCCCGCATATTCTCTCATTTAAGTCTCACAACCATGAGAGGTACACATGGTCATCTCCATTCTCTAGACAAGGAAACTAAGGCTCAAAAAGGCTAAGACACTTGCTCAGGGTTACCCAACCAGTAAGTGGCAGGGGAAGGATGCACAGCTATCTGCAGGACTCATAGACATGTGCCCCTTCCACAAACTGGCTGGCAAGTGCCAGAACCTGGAGCAGGATCCCAAGAGTGGACTCTCCCCATCCCCATCCCACCTGTCTCACTTCCAATACCATCCAGGACTCATCTCCTGAGGCCAGGAAGCCCCTGTCCTTACATGGCCGAAGGGGTCTAGGTGGTTGTTTGTGAGCTTCAGCTTCTGGAAAGAGACCAGCTGCCGCATCCAGTGGGCCCCCGTGGCAGGAGAGTCCGGGTGGACATACAGCCTCCCTGGCATAGCTGGTTCAGCCTTCCCTGCCACCATCCTGCCAACAGAGCAGACAGAGAAGGTGATTACCTTGGGGTCTGGGGAAGCCAAGTTCCCTGTCCCCTCTGAGAGCAAGCCTCCATTAAGTGGAGAAAAAAAATTGCTGCTGGTTCCATCACACTGTCAATCCATGACTTTAGGGGTAGGGGTTAGGGACAGAGGAGAGAGTGCTGAGGATAGGGGAGCAGTTCTGAACCTCTTTTATTTTGCTGCAGTAGAAAGAGAAAGGGAGATTACAGGAAACAATCATTTATCTGAAGGACTGGAGCTAAACCTAAAGATATTATTTGGAGGGAGCTTCTCAGAGGACCTAGACAATGCTCAAATTTCTGCCCCCAAAATAGTGGTAAGAAATTCATTGGTATCTCTCCCCTCAGTCAGAGCCTGCTCTGAGTTCCAGTGTAGCCCAGAGAGAGAAAAGAAATAGAGATAAGGTTGTTGCCAGGACCTGACCATCAAATCCTGCCTCCTCAGCCTAATCTGTGCTGGCTCTACTGCCCACCCACCACGGAGCCCAGCATTCTGGTCATCTGTTCTCTCCTCATGCTGTTCTGAGCTCTAGAGGCAGCAGGGTACTAAAGAGTTGGCCTCGGAAAAAGTAGCCCAGCATTTCTTTACCTGGCTCCAGTTTGGTTTTGTACCTCCACACGCCTATGTCCCCCAGTCCCTTGCCAAGGGGTCCTATCACCAACCCTCTGGGCAGTAGCCCCACTTGGTCAGATGGCAGGAGACAAAGAAGTGAGTGAAGAAACAGGAGACTGTCCCCACAGGGCAGGAAATGTCCCTAGCTCCTAAAGTCCCCAAGGAAACTGTTCCTATCTTCCTCCCAGTGAAACACTGACAGAATCTGAATCTGCTTGGTGTTCGTGATGCATCACCTGACAGCACGGTCAGCAGGTCCTGATTGCCCATGGCGGTGGGAAGAGTATAGACTCTTGAAATCCACCTAACATCCCAATACTGCAACTGGTTTTGCAGTACCACCTGCAGCGGGTATGCAGACATTTGCTGACCCTCCACAGTGCTAGTTCCAGGCAGGGGACCCCAGGCTGCAGATCTGGGCAGGCATTTAGACTAGCTGGTGACTCCCTGGGCCAAACACTGGGTGGAGGAGGTGTGATGAGTAGGGGCAGTTGAGAGAAGGTGGATGATGCTGTGAGCGTCCCAGGCCTCTTACCATTTGTTGTCACAGAACTTGTAGCGATGGTCATCCGCAGGAACGATGTCAATCAGCAGGATGTACTTGGTCTTGGGGTTCATACCTGTGACTTTCACCTTGTAGCTGGGGAACATTCTCCTGGGGGAGCCAAGGAGTAAGGCGGAGGTGGACAGAGCATCGGGAGAGATGGCACAGAGTGAGCAAGGGGGCAGAAGGTCTTGAACAGGTAGTGCCCTTTCAGCAAACAATCTTGGCACCAGTCACAGCCGTGTGACCTGCACCACTCACATCCCCCTCTTCCTTGGCTGCAGAGGGAGAGAGCTGCACTAGCCACTTCCAATGAGCCCCTGCAGCCATCAGTCTGTGTCTAGGGAAAGAGTTTATCCAGTTTCTCAGACTCACTTCCCCTCTCCCTAAGATTTGGGGCTAGGGGCTGTAAGCAGTTAAAGCACAGAGACCATGGTCAGAATTTTGAGAGTGGATTTTGACACCAACCTGGATGCCTTAATTTTCCTCCTGTCCTCTGCCAGCCCATACACAATAAAAGTTCTGGGGTGCAATTAGAGGGGGCTGGGGCAGATGACCTGGAAACCCCTGTCAGCTGTTTCCATAACAATGAGAAGTCTCCTCTGGGTCCTGTCTCCATGGTAACCCTGAGGTCTTAAACCAACTTGCAGGAGAACAGGAGACTGCTGTGGAAAACTGCTAGGTTTGGATTCTTTCGCTGTGTCTAGCAGGGATGTTTCCCGCTGTGAATGCCTCACCTGTATCTGTGCATCCTAGCTAGGTTTCAGGAGATAGTCGGTCCAGGAGCCTTGTGTATAAGAGAGCAAGTGTGTGGATTCTGAAACCCTTTGCCATGGTCCACAGCCTGGCCCTGCTGCTCATAAGCTGTGAGGCTTGGGCAGCTTGCTTGAATCTCCCCCTCTTCCTTGTTTTCCTTATTTCTAAAACAAGGATAGTATTACTACCTATCTCACAGATCGCTATGTGGAGTAAATGGGTCGATCTACGACTATTACCACTGACCCCCTGTTCCACTCCACCCTCCACAAAACAAGTGGAGAAGTGGTACAACCTACTTCTAGGAAAATGGATTCATGAAAAAACAAAGTTTTCCATTTCACGCAGCCCATGCTGAAGCTGTCCAGGACCCGGAGACTTAGGGAACATTCCCCAGGCCCCTCCACATATTCACACACATTACAGCATGTACACAGACCTGCTGGAGCACAGCTCCCTCCCCTGGTCACCAGGTCCCTGACACTGGACTTCACCAGAGGGAAAGAACAAAACTTCCTCACAATCCTCCTCAGACACCCCTCGCCACCCCCTAGCTGATCTTCCACAAGTGTTCCCCAAGAGGAGCAGGATCTAAACCTGATTGAAGACACTAAGAGAAATGGAATCCAGGCCCCTGAGTGGTGATAATGCCCAGCTGGTCCACTCCAGGAACACCATCAGCTGGCCTCTGTCTCTCACTAACCCAAGACAGTACAAGCCCCTCACGAGATGCTGTCCCAGACACCTCAAACAGATGGGTAGAGTCCCTCCTTTTATCAAAGGGGCACCAGCTTACCTGGACAGGGCAGGGCTTCTAGAAAGGATCAAGGCCTCCACAAGCAGGCAGCCCCTACAGCAAACCCAGGTCAGCACCCTAAGGCAGAGGGTTCAATTCCACGCAGGCCTGGCCTTGCCCAGACTAGTCTGTGCCCTCTCTTGCTGGAGGGGAAGCCAGTGCACCACAGGGTGGGGACACGGTCTGTGTGCTGTGGGTGTACCCAGGCACATGTGAGCACTCAGTGTGAGTGCGCATGTGTGGATGTGTGCGTGCCTGCAGGGAGGAGGGAAGTTCTAGCTGCAAGTCTAGGGACTTATAAACCGTGTGGAAGAATTTGTCTCAGATGTCAATTGAAAGCGTTTTCAAATGTCCACCCCACCCCCTCTCCAGGAATGGGGGGAAGTGAGGGGGCTCAGAACCCAACCCTGCCTCCTGCCTCCCAGCCCCCCTGTGGGGCCTGGGGGCACAGCTGGAGCCTGCACCACCCTTTCCTGGCCCTGCCTCTCTCCTGGTGGGTCTGTAGCTGAAGTGGGAGGGCAGCCGCTGCTTTGCCTCCCCCTCCCTGGGGGAAGGCCAAGAATTCTGTCCCCTCCAGGCCACCATTTTGTAACTGCCAAAGAAACTGCCACAAAATGGGGCAGCCCTGGCCATGCCTGGACCAGCCTGGCACTAGTGGCCAGCATTTATCCTGGTTCTCCTGTAGTCATTCCAGGTGGCAACAGACAGGGCAGCCATGTCTTTCCTACAGGCCAGTGTCCACAGGGAGCCAGGAATAAATGGCTCACTGCCACACTGCCAGTCTCCATAGCCTGGGTTGAGAGGAGGCTGAGGGGCCCTGTCCTTCCCCTTCTTCTACCCTACTGGGTGTGCTTCATCTTGGCAGATCGGGAGGCCAGGCTGACAATGACTAAGTGCTTTCTAGAAGGCCTTTGAGGAGCCCTGCCTCCCCAGACCCGGAGCTGGTGTCCTGTGATCTGGTCCCTCTGGGAAGCTGACCATAGACCAAATTCCTGGCTGATTACAGCCTCCTCCAGGAGGTGTTGCCGGCATTGGAGCAGGAAAGGAGAGCATCTCCAAGCCTTGCTTCCTCTGCCCACCAATTCCCCTCTTCCTAGGGCAGCAGCCCTCAGAAGCTGGGAGGGTGGAGATCTAGTCTGAATGGGGAGTTCAAAAGCCCTCTGCTCTACCAGGCTGAACCTGCCAGGGCTCGGAAACTTCCACTGCCTTCACGAAACAGCCAGACAGGTCCCTGGCAGTCCAGTGCAGGGACAGCTTCTGGGCTATGCAGAACATGCTCTGCGAGTTACTAGACACTAACATTTCCCCACCTGGGTGGCTCCAGAAGGAAGAAGGGTCCACCCAGGGTGGAGGACTGACCGAGTGTGAAGGTGAGGCCACACCTCTGCCCACTCCATCTACCTCCTGCCCAGGCTGAGGGGACAATTCACGGCCCTCCATAGGCTTCTGCTATCCTGAGGGGAGTAAAGCTGGAGCCTAGATGCCTGCTTTGGGGGTGTCCACCAGCATGGCATGACTCGGGCCACCGAGGCCAGACTGGGTTTGGGAGTTGTGGCTTCCTCCGGGCTCTGCCTCTCGAATGAAACATCTTAAATGATGGAGTGAGGGGTCAATTGTTTCAGTGATTTATGACATAAAGTGCACCTGAAAACCAACACCCTATGAGGGAAGCAACGCCTCAGCGGGGTGGGAGGGAACCAAGAAGAGAGGCGCTGACTGGCCGCCTGTGTCACACGCAGGCTCACGCCACCAGCGCAGAGGTGAAGCCGTCCCGCACGCTACGCTCGGGGCGCCCGGCGAGCCCTCTCCCTCACCGGCTCCCGGCGCCCCGGGGCCTCTCCCGGCGCCCCAACCCCAGCCCTCTTGCCCCACCCGCATCGGGCCCGCCCGCACCCTCTCGC